GCAGTTTCCAGTGCTGGCTTAGAAACCAAGAGGACAAAATGTGTGATCGACCTGTGTAGATTAAGGTGAGTGTGTTCAAGGCCAGCCTGGTCTACCTGGACTGTGCGGAGTGTCATATGACAAAACAGCATTGGTGCCGTAGTTCATCTCCAGCACCCCGTTTCAAAGCCTTGGTTAAATGTGCATGTAAATCTTAAGCCATGCTTAGCTACATATAGCGTACAGTAAGTGATTGCTGCTATCACAGTGAATTGGAGATGGGAAGGGTCTGGCTCTAGTGCAGACCTCAGAAAGAGGTGTTGAAATACGGAGCGGCGGGCTGTGTCCCGCCACCCGGCTAGCTTTACCCGAAATAATTACACGGAAACTGTATTCTTTTAAACACTGCCTGACCCATTAGTTTCAGTTTCTTATTGGCTAGCTTTTACATATTGATCTAACCCATTTCTATTAATCTGTGTAGCCCACGAGCTGGCTTACCAGGAATGATCTTAACCTGCGTCTGTCTGGAGTGGGAGAATCATGGCGACTCTCTGACTCAGCTTCTTTCTCCCAGCATTCCATTCTGTTTACTCCGCCTACCTAAGGGTTGGCCTATCAAATGGGTCTAGGCAGTTTCTTTATTAATAAGAAATTACTCCCACATCAAAGAGGAGCCAAACTGGGCTGGTCACAGCTGTTGATAACTCCATGGGAATCCATGCCCTCATGCCGCCCCCCCCCCCACAGATAACGTAATTCTCAAAAATAAAAATGTAAAAGATGAGAGAAATACTTTGCTGGAAGCCTAGAGGTGACAGTGTGAAGCTTGGACTGGAGTGTCTGACCATGAATGAGCGAGGCCGTGGGGGAGCAGAAGGCTTGTGTGGGGTCTGGAGGGTGTATGTGCACTGCCCCGGCTGTGTGATTATGCGGACGTGCCACTGAGAGCTTGCTTGGCTGGTTCTCTTGGCCAATACTAGATTTTTGAAATTTTTAAGAATTATATATGTATGTATGTATGTGTTTATGTAGAGATATGCACATACGCTCACATGCCTGTGGAGTTGAGATCTGGAGCTGGGGTTTTGGGTAGCTAGCTGTAAGCCCCCATACATGCTGCAGTCTCTCCAGCCTTCCTCGGGGATTTAAAGGATTTATGTGTATCTATGGCCACGTGGCATGTCACAGCACAGAGGTCAGAGGGTAACTTTGGGGAGCTGGATCTTACCTTCCATCATATAGGTCTCTGGGAATTAATTTGGCACCCAGAACTTTCCCATGCTAAACCATCTCATTGGTTCTCAGTGGCCAGCACTGGAGTCAGTGGAGGAGGTGGATTTTGAGATTCTGTGATTCCTTGACTTTTGTGTTATCCTGCTGTGAGTTCAGTGAAGCCAAGTGTGGTGCTCACCTGTAATCCCAGTCTCAGGAGGCAGAGGCAGGAGGATTACCGAGACTTTGAGACCAACCTGGGCTGTATGATGAGATCTAGGCCATCGTGAGCTACAGAGTAAGTCTACATTTTAAAGGGGGAGATGCTGAGCTGTTTCAGCAGTTAGAGCACTTACAGCTATTCCAGAAGATGGACTCAGGTTCTGGTTCCAGAGGATCCCGTGCCCTCCTGAGGCTTCCCCACACATGCGGTGTAAGAACTATTTAGAGAAGGGGAATGGAGACTGCAGGCACACGTCCTCGTTGGCTTCCTTAGCAGTTTGCATTTTTCAGTTACATAGTTTTTAATTCTATCTATGTTTGCACATGTGAATGCAGTGCCCCAGGAGGCCTTGGATCCCTGGAGCAGGGAGTGAGCCTTGCACTCTAAATGCAAATCACTGAGCCATGTGACCGTCCGATGGATCTTTCCAACTGTAGATTTGGGCAGGACTTTAGCTCCTACACTCTCTCTGGCCTAGTTCCACAAAGTTCCCTAAGCCTTGCATGTCTGTTTATGGCCATAGGCATTCTAACACTTGGTCTTAAGTTTTTTTTCTTTTTTTTTTCCTTAGCATTTGTTTTTCTTTGTAGCCTTGGCTGACCTGGAGCATGCTCTGTAGACCAGGCTGGCCTTGAGCTCTGAGAGCTCCGCCTGCCTCTGCTTCCCAAATGCTTGGCTTTATGGTGTATGCCACCACCGCCTGGCTTTTGAGCAGTAGTTACTAAGTCTCTGAAAGCACCACTACCTATTGTAAAAAGAAGCTTCTCTGACCAGAGCTGATGGCAACAGTGACCTGTGGGCATGAGTACAGTTACATAGAAGGCAATCTGGCAGGCGCACCATGTTCATTTAACACAACAGGAACTCTCCAGTCAGGGTCTGTGACCTCCCAGTGGCCTTTCACTGGGTCTGTAGTAACGCAGAATCTTTTCTGTTGATCAGTTCAATCCTAGTCTGCAGATGCTGGCAGAGAAAATGAACTAGTGGTGTGGTTAAGAATGCTTGCTCTTCCAGAAGACTAGAGTTCCATTCCCAGCACCACAATGGGCACTCACAACCTCCTGTAATTAGAGTTCTGGGGAATCCGATGCCTTCTTTGGGCCTTTCAGGATATATATAATATATTGTATGATAGTATAGTAATATACATATAATACTTTGCTAAAGAACATGAATTTAGTGGAACACTGCATCACATTTGGGAAACTAATGCATCAGTATCCAGTTTTTGCTGAGGAGCTCTTGAGTTAATTTGCTGTGCAAGCATGGGAACCAAAGTTAGTACACAGAACCCACAGAAGAAGCTGGTCATGGTGGCACAACTCTGGGAGGCCCAGACAGTAGGACCTCGGGGCTCACCAGTGCCAACCCAGCCTAGTTGGTGAGGCCAGGCTGCAGTGAGAGATCGAATAAAACTTAAGTGGGCAGCACCCTAGGAGTACCAGAGCTCTACACAGGCTCACACGTGAACATGTGCGCATACACAGCATTTTCTTCCATACAGGGAAAACTAAGTGGGCAGTCCCTAGGAGTACCAGAGCTCTACACAGGCTCACACGTGAATATGTGCGCATACACAGCATTTTCTTCCATACAGGGAAAACTAAGTGGGCAGCACCCTAGGAGTACCAGAGCTCTACACAGGCTCACACGTGAACATGTGCGCATACACAGCATTTTCTTCCATACAGGGAAAACTAAGTGGGCAGTCCCTAGGAATACCAGAGCTCTACACAGGCTCACACGTGAACATGTGCGCATGCACAGCATTTTCTTCCATACAGGAAAAAAAGGGTCAGATGCTTTCTTTAAGATAAATGTCAGATTTTTAAAAATGCCAATTCAAAAAAAAAAAAGAGAAACTTTATTGCATTTGAAAACTGGCATGTAGCTGGGCGGCGGTGGCGTACACATTTAATTCCAGCCCTTAGGAGGCAGAGGCAGACGGATATCTGAGTTTGAAGCCTGCCTGGTCTACAAGAGCTCCAAAGCTACAGAGAAACCCTGTCTCAAAAAACAAAACAACTGGCATGTAACAAATGCCTCATTCTTATGCCGAATTTAAGATTAAGGCTACACATTTCCGGTTCCCAGGGCCATGTTACAGTTTTGAAACGCAGAGTGCCTTGGTACAGCTCGCCATAACTGCGGTTTCATTTGGAAAGCCGTACGATTTGTAACTTTACATTCATAAACTGGCTTTCACCCTGGAGACCCATTTTAATTTTAACAGTTAAATTCACTAGAAGTAAGAAATCACAAAATTTTGCTTTTTAAATTGTAAGCATGTAGACAGTATTACAAATCTTGTGTTTTCAGGATCCATTTCCCCCCAACAGATGTTCAACCGGTATAGGTGATTAAAACTGGGCCCTTGCATGTGGTGCATCTGAGTATGTCCAAAGCTGCCATGTCTACCTCTCGGAGTGGAGAGAGCAGTTAAAGGGCTGGTGGCTTCTTGGTTTTTAAGAGAGCAGGTAGCTGTAGAGTTGGAGGGAAGAAACTCTAAGTTGGAATAGTATGGATATTTAGGGCCGGAAGAGCCCAGTGCCTACTTCCAGGACAGGCTCCAAAGCTACAGAGAAACCCTGTCTTGGAAAAAAAAAATCATTTTGTGGAAGGTCTGAGATACATGGCAGGATGTACCAAAACTGAAAAGATATACATGTTGGATGGAAAAATTCCAGTTTGATATTAAGTAATAAGAAATACATACACATATACAAACACCAGAAGACATATACCAGAATATAGCAGTATTTTTATGACAAAGTTATCAAAAATATAAATATCCAGAAATAAGACAACTAGAAATATACTTTAAATAAAATATTAAAATTAATGTACTACTAATAACACATGCAGTAACGTACCAATCTTTAAAATATGAAACAAAGCAGGATGTTAAAAGAAATCCAAGACGCATGATAAAACAGACTTAAAATTTAAGAACATGAGCCAGGCTGTGGTGGCGCACACCTTTAATTCCAGCACTTGAATTAGAGGCAGGCGGATCTCTGTGAGTTCCAGGATAGTCAGAGCCACACAGAGAAACCCTGACTCAAAAAACAAAAATTAAATATGTAAATATGCTTATCACAGAGAAAGCAGTAATTACTTTCTAGTAATACAGAATACAATGAGATGGTTCATTCTTATTCTCGTATGGTAATTATTGCTGATAAACATTTTCTAACGTGTTCCTACATGTATTATACATTTTTTTTTGTTGTTGTTGTTGCTTTAAGAGGGTCTCCCCCATACAGCGCTGGCTGGCCTGGAGGCTGGCGTGCAGGTCAGGTAGCTCTAAAACTATTTTTTGATGTAGTATTCAAAGTCAGCCAAACCGTCTAAAGGTTACAGATCATCTTCAGAGCTGACCCAGTTCAGCAGTGCCTGTATCTACTGCACACACTGGAAAGCAGTAAACAGTGCTGAGGGATGGAACGCCAGTCACTTATGACATGTGGAAGCGTGTTTTTCCTCCCGGAATGGCAGGCTTCCAGTCACAGGAAGACTGCACAGACGCCACTTGGCTCTCCTGTTCCATTTCCGTATTCTCCCTATGAAGCCTCTGGTGGACAAGGAGGTTTCTCTTATAGCTGAAGGACTTGCCGCAGTCGTTACATACATAGGGCTTCTCCCCCGTGTGAGTTCTCTGGTGGACAATTAGGTTTGTCTTCTGGCGGAAGCACTTTGCACAGTCTTCGCATTGGTAGGGCTTCTCCCCCGTGTGAGTTCGTTGATGATGAATGAGGTAAGCTTTCCTGCTGAAGGCTTTCCCACACTGCGGACACTCATAGGACTTCTGCCCCATATGGATCTTCTGGTGTGCAGTGAGCGTTGCTTTTTGCCGAAAGGGCTTCCCGCACTCGCTGCAAACATAGGGTTTCTCCCCAGTGTGAATCCTCTGGTGTAGGTTGAGATTGGTCTTCTGACTGAAGGACTTCCCACACTGGTCACAGGCGTACGGTCTTTCGCCGGTGTGGGTTCTGTGGTGGTCAACGAGGTACGACTTCATTCTAAAGGCCTTGCCACAGCGAGGACACGCGTACGCTTTCTCCCCAGTGTGCGTCCTCTGATGGGCCACAAGGGTTGTTTTCTGGCGGAAGGTCTTCCCACAGTCATTACACTTATAGGGCTTCTCCTCACTATGAGTTTTCTCATGAAGAGCAAGTGTTGTTTTCTGGGAGAACGACTTCCCACATTCCTTACAAATGTAGGGCTTCTCCCCTGTATGAGTCCTCTGGTGGACGGTGAGGTTTGCTTTCTGGTGGAAGGATTTCCCACAGTCTTTACAAACATAGGGTTTCTCGCCTGTGTGAATCCTCTGATGGAGGGAGAGTGTCGTCTTCTGGCGGAAGGCCTTCCCACAGGCAATACACTCATACGGTTTTTCTCCCGTGTGAGTCCTCTGATGACGGATGAGGTGGGACTTCAACCTGAAGGCACTCTGACACTGTGGACATCCATACGACCTCTCCCCTGTGTGTGTCCTCTGGTGATCCGTCAGGGCTGTCTTCAGGCGGAAGGGCTTCCCACACTCATTGCAAACAAAGGGCTTCTCCCCGGTGTGAGTCCTCTGGTGGTCACTAAGATATGACCGTCTTCTGAATGCATTTCCACACTGAGGGCACTGGTAAGGCTTTTCCTCTGTGTGAACTGCCAGGTGCAGAAGCAACATTGACTTCCTGCAGAAGGACTTCCCACATTCTGTGCAGATGTGGTTCTTTTCAGTATTTGTTGCGCTTTTCCTTTTGTTATGTACGGACGGATTCCCCTTTCTAAGAGATGACTGTTCCCAGTCCTCACCTCCAAATGGCTGTCCCGGAGCACCTGCTTTCTCATGTCTGGGTTCAACACTGTGACTGCAAGTCTTGTCCCTTGGAATATGGAATTTGAATTCAGGATGCCCCGGGTCTCGCATGGAATTTGGGCATGGTTTCTGATATCCATCATACTCACTCTGTCTCTTCCTTGCAGGGCTTGGATTACTGTTGATTAATTCTGAAACACTTTCTAAAATGTCTCCACAGGTGTCACAGTCAGGATATGTACTGCTCTCCTTAGCCAGTTCTTTATAGTTCACACACACACAAGATCTAGGGTGTGTACCACGGTGTCCTTTGAATTTCATTAAAATCTCTCGTGAGCTCCAATTTCCTTCTAGAAAAGAATAACAAACTAGTGAATTTCCACAAATTTGCTAGGGAAAGGAATTGAAATGGTCTAACATGTGAAAAACCTATAGTGAACCATTTCCAGGTTACAAGGCAAAACAAACAACAACAACAACAAAAACCCTAAAAAACCTAATGACAAGCATAAAGCATAAATACACAGTGTGCTTCAGTATGAAAAAGAATGAAACAGAAACACTGTTAATACCTTTTGATCCACAAACAGTTATATACAGAAAGTAATAGAAGCCAGATAAGGAACGATACAAGAGGAATTCATGTCTGGAAAGATTAAATGACGAAATAACTCTATCATGGGAATAAAAGCAAAGTAAGATGAACAACTAGGTAGATACGTTTATTCAGAGAAACTGCAGGAAAATATCTTCTACAGGACACAGATTGATGGAGGAGGGTCATCTGTATGTGTTACTTTCATTGGTTAATTAATGAAAACTGCTTGGCCTGATAGGTCAGAACATAGGTGGGTGGAGTAGATAGAACAGAATGCTGGGAAGAAGGGAAGTGAGGCAGATAGATGCCATAGCTCTTCTCTCAGAAATGGATGCAGGTTAGAATCTTCCCGGCAAGCCACCACCTCGTGGTGCTACATAACATTAATGGAAATGGGTTAATCAAGATATGACAGTTAGCCAATAAGAGGCTAGAACTAATGGGTCAGACAGTGCTTAAATGAATACAGTTTCCATGTAATTATTTTGGGTAAAGCTAGCCGTGCAGGAGCTGGGCAGCAGGAAGCAGCCTGCCGCCCCTACTTCAACAACAGATCACCCAAATTTTTATATGCAAATCTCAATTACTGTGGTGAAACAATGGTGAATATTTTACCTAGGCCTTTGCATGAAGCGCCACAGCTCACTAATCTCCTAGGGATTATATTCACCTGGCCCCCTCTACATGAAGCGCCACGGCTCACTAATCTAGGGATTATATTCACCTGGCCCCCTCTACATGAAGCGCCACGGCTCACTAATCTCCTAGGGATTATATTCACCTGGTCCCCTCTACATGAAGCGCCACGGCTCACTAATCTCCTAGGGATTATATTCACCTGGCCCCCTCTACGTGAAGCGCCACGGCTCACTAATCTCTTAAAGTATTAGTTCTTGGAATCTGGAAAGCAATCCTGTAATCTAGCTGTGTGACCAATGAAGAGCTAGAAGAACTACTTTGTCATGTAACGCAAGAGCTAGGAAAATACCTGTTGCGGGAACCTTAAAATAGACCAGTGTGCACATCTGCTGTCCCACCCTGCTAAACTTACTCTAGACGTCTATTGTCAGACATTTATCTTTTTACCTTACACATAACCAAAGTCTGAGCAAGTAAAAAGATTTTTAGCTGGCAAGAAGACCAAGGTAGAAAGTAAATTATGCCCTCTAGAATGTTGTGTCGCCTGAGCCAAATGAAAAGAGCCCAAGTGTGTAGTGTATTAATCAATTTTCAGACTTTTTTTTTTACTCATATTTAGAGAATCTTCAAGTAAACTCTACTCTGTGATTTCAAAAGTGCTTCATATAGCCAAGTATAGGGTGCACACATCCAGGCCCAGCACTTGTGAGGCACAGGCAAGGGGACTGAGTGATGTCAGTCTTGGTTACATGGTGAGCACCAGATCAACAAACTACAAGGTGTGTAGCTCAGTAGCAGAGTGCCCAGCATGTACAAGGCGACAGCAAGGAAACAAGAGTAACAACAAAAGCCTACACGTGCCCCTCCACCACTATGAGCTCTACTGAAAACCTGGGCGTAATTATCATCTAGAAAAGTCATTCCAACAACAAAAATCTTTTTTTTTAAACTTTTTGTTGGGGCTGGAGAGATGGCTCAGAGGTTAAGAGCACTGGCTGCTCTTCCAGAGGTCCTGAGTTCAATTCCCAGCAACCACATGGTGGCTCACAACCATCTGTACTGAGATCTGGCACCCTCCTCTGGCATGTGGGCATACATCAAGGCAGAATGTTATATACATAATAAATAATAAATCTTTAAAAAAAAAATAAAAAAAAATTTTTTTGTTTATTTTATTTTTTTTAGTTGTTGCAAAAAAAATTTCCGCCTCCTCCCCATTTCCCATATCCCTCCTCCTCTACCCCTCTCCCCCTCCTCCCCACTCCATTCCCCCTCCCTCAACAATGAAAATCTTTTGAGACATAACAGGATTTCATGTAGCCCAGGTTCACCACAAACTTGTTTTGTACCAAAAATAACCCTGAACTGTTTTTAACTTTTAGATTTATTTATCTAATTTCATGTGAGCGGCTCAGGCTTTACCACAGAGCATGGCCACTGCTCATTCCCTTAGACGTGATCCTCTGGTGGCCCTAAACACCCATGTTTATTCATTTATTTATTCGTTGCTCTCACAGATCTCCAGGGAAACCAGCATTGTCCTTTCAAAAGAAACAATCTGTTTTCCAGAAGGCTGGGAATTGGAGGTGATTAACCGCCTGGGGAGCTGTTGTCTGTTGGGCTACACCACATCAAGCCCCTACAGCCAGGACCAGAGGTGGCTAGTAATTTAAATGACCCTTACATTACATGTACAGCCAGGGGTCTCCAAGCTGAGGTGGCTAGTAGCCATATGACCTCTGGGCTATCTATATGACCAAGTCCAGGCCAGATGCTTCCCTAGGCCCTTATATTAATATAGGGAGCCTATCTTCAGAATCCATCTTCTTGGAAGAAATGGCATGTACCCCACGTTGAGTTCCAATGTAATTATGCCTCCTCACACACCTCGGTTTGTTATACCAGAAAACTTTTCCAAATTGTACTGTCCTTAAATACACTGGCAATAAACTGCCTGGATCAGAGTCTCCGGAAGCTTGATCCAGCCTGGCCAGCTCCATTGGACATCCAAGTTTTCATTTCCACCTCTTCACAGGTCACTTCCCTGCCTTCTGTGACACCTGCAAGGATCTCCTCATTCGTTCGTTCATTCATTCATTCATTCATTCAACCATTCACTCATCAAGCATGATCTCCCAGGGCCTTAGTTACTGGACTCAGGTTCTAAGGACTCCAGTTGTCTCCAACATGCTTACTCAGAATTTTGTGTTAAGTTTTGTAGGTAAGCTGGTCATTTCAAAAGTTAAGAACCTTTAAAACACTTCAGTGATAGTCCCCATTCCTTCACTTTTACTCTCCATTACCTCCTATGTGTCTGGATGTCAGAAACTCACCTAAACAGACATGACCTGCAAATGATGCCCAGGGGTCCTCCCCTCGCTCCAGTCTGAGGATGACATCGGGTTTAGACATGTCACAACCTGATAAGAAGGAAGAGAAGTAATCACGAGTAAGGTAGCTGGGGTAGAACTTAGTGGTAAAACACTCGCCCAGCCACAAAGAGGGTAGGTGTGGGGATATGGGCGGGAATATTTGCAATGTAAAATCTCATATGGACAGGAGCTTGAGAAACACTGAAAATGACCAAGGTGCAGAGCTGAATGACTCTCACTTGTGTGACAGTAACCCTGGGTCCTGCCCTAGGAGGGGAGAGCAGAGTCCTCCTGCAAACTAGGGTCCTGTGGCTCCCGTTACTGGAGTTCGAGAGCACATTGTGTAGGTGCTCTGAGAGGAAATACACAGCATGCAGGGTGTGCCTCCTTCCCGTACCTACGGAGAGAAGGTGGGCATAGTTTTCCAACATCACATCCGTATACAGAGTCTTCTGAGCAGGGTCCAGGTGCTGCCACTCCTCCTGACTGAAGTCCACGGTCACATCCTTGAAGGACACGGGTCCCTGCAGGGCAGAATTTGGAAGGGTGATTGGCACAGGTTAACTAGATATTGGGAACAGTCCTGGCTGTCCTAGAACTTTCTGTAGACCAGGCTGACCTCGAACTCACAGAGATCTGCCTGCCTCTGCCTCCCAAGTGCTGGTATTAAACATGTGCTCCACCATCGCCTGGCTTGAAACATTTTTAAAGACTTATTTTATTATGTGTATGGGTGTTTTGCCTGCATGTATGTCTGTGTGCCATATGTGTGCCTGGTGCCCTTGGCGGTTAGAAGATAGTTGTAGGAACCGAACCAGGGACCTCTGGAAGAGCAACAAGTGCTTGAGCATCTCTCCAGCCCTGAGAAGGACTCTTATTCCTGTTCCTTTGTGACAGATAAACTTTGCCAAAGAATGACGACTCTTTTTCTTGTTTTGATTTAAACTGTAAGCTACTGTGCTCCCGCGGTGACTCAGCAGGCAAAAGCACTACTTGTCAAGCCTGGTATGGGAGTTCAGTCCTTGGAACCCACGTGGTAGAAGGGGAAAACCAACTCCTCTCAGTTGCCCTGACATCCAGGTGGATGCTGCGCTACTTACATGTTCACATACACACAGACACAGGTTGCCATCAAGACTGTGACTGACTGTGAAGTTGCTCTTTGTCTGCAATGTGCACTTGTTCACTGGGAGCCAGAACCTAACACATGTGCTTTCTGGGCTTGTACACAAGAGAGAATATATAAATATAAACCCACAGCCGCTGCAGCACACACACCAGGCACGGTGTCTCACGAGACAGAGAAAAGACTCTGGCTTCACCAGTGATGTAAATTTCTGCACTTCAGAATGGCTGGTTTAGTCAAGCTCTGTCGGCACAGGTGTGCAACCCCAGCTACTTGCAAGGACGAGTCTCATCAGACTCACAAATGTGAGGCCCGCCTGATCCAGAGTGAATTCATAGCCAGCCTGGGCAAATTCATGAGGTGCTGCTCAAAATAAAAGGAAGTGTGGCGGGGTTAGTATCTGGCAACGAAAGAATAAATCACCTGAGAAAGGCCCACAGCTACCACGGTGAGACTTGGATACAGTGCATAAGAAACAAGTCCAGAAGGCCCTGGAAAGCCCTGAGCCACACAGAAAGCGGGAAACGTTACTGCTTGACGGACAACAACTGCAACGACGAGAACTGTCCATGTTCCAGCTTTCCTGAAGGTTCCTGAAACCCTGCAGGTCCCTAGTCAGAAACGGTTTACTTCCTACAGGTGACAGACAGCAAGACTTCAGGGCTGGCAGGGCTACATAGTGAGACCCTGTCTAAAATGACAACAGAAGTCTACATCGCATAGAGATGAGTTTTCCGAGTCAAACAGAGAAGAGTAGAGTACTTTGAACTACACTCCGGCATTGTGACCTGTGTACAGCTATTTCTTCTGCATCCAAATACAGAATTACAAGAGTTTTTCTTTGTTTTGGAGACAGGGTCTCACTATGTAGCCTTATTAGACCCAAGCTCAAGAGATCCATCTACCTCTGCCTCTGCCTTCGGAAGACTGGAATTAAAGGTCTATGCCAACATGCCTCGCTAGGATAAACTTTAAAAGAATAAATCTCTGATAGCATTAGTATCCTAGGAAAGGTTTTATTGGAAGACCACAGGCTTTTAGGAACTGTGAGCAACGTGGAAGGAAGACAAGGAAGAAACAAGATTCCTGACTCCTCCTCAGGCCTCTACCCTACACTTAAGACAAAACGCTTCTGCCACTTACTAGTAGCATCCTGTTGGTTTTACCGTCACCTTACCCAGGCATGTGGGGAAGGCAAAAGGCTTCCGCATCCTTAGAAACTGCTCCTCTGCATGTAGAGTCATGGGGGTATATGTACCAGGGTGTCCATGACGTGCGTGAGTCAGTTGTTCCCGTCCACCATGTGGGTCCTGGGAATCAAACTCCAGGTCATCTGGCTTGGCAGAAAGTTCCTTAACCTGATGAGCTGTCTCAGTTAGGGTCTTGTGTAGCTCAGGCTGGCCTCAAACTTGCTACCTAACCAAGGATGACCTTGACCCTCTAATCCTCCTGTCTCTCCCTCCTGGGTGTCTGTGTCTGCTCTACCAGCCACGGGGCTGGGAATCTCCTGTGTTCCTGCCCAGAAAGCGTTCATGCATGCTTGCAAACACTGTATCCTTTTAAGATGTATATGTGACAGGTTTGTGTGTTCATAATTTTCACTGATAAAAACAAATACATTTTTGTCCCAGCACAGCTTCTGGGAGAGACCAAAGGGGACACACTTCCTGCAGAGAAAGCCTGATGAGACGGTTTTAGACAGAAAAGGACAATACCCAAATATCCTCAGAAAACAAGTGGGCATTGGCAGAGCAAAACAAGCAATTTTCCAAGGAACGGAAACCATTACCTCACCTGAGCCATGGTTCTGAGATCTGGGCTCCTCCTCAGTAAGTGATGGGATACAACCTAAAACAGCAAAGCCAAGAAGGGTACAGGTGGGTGAGAACTTACTTGAGAATTTACTCCCCTTGTAGCTGGCTCTCACCGCTTACATTAACCTAAAACCATTTCTCTGTGTTGGCTCATGTCTCCTTTGTACATCCTAAATTAATGTAATATATTGGAGATAACAAGCTTATTTCACTCCCACATCCAAAGATACAAGCTTCTGGAACACGATGATCTGGGTAAGCTGCACCCCACCCCAAAGAGCCTACAGTTATGGATGGCTACTGCCTGCTCCCTAACAAGGCCAAACCATGTGTAATAATGTATGGAAACACTGACACCCCACACCTGAGGAGCGCTGTGGACACAGACTTCCCTAGGATTATCGAGCAGGCACCAATTCTAGCTGGAATCTGAGTTCTCTACTTATGGGAGCACTACTGAGGAGCACCGTAGACACAGACTTCCCTAGGATTATCGATCAGGCACCAATTCTAGCTGGAATCTGAGTTCTCTACTTATGGAAGAAGAAAAGCTTAAGTTTATAAACAACTCGTTTCTTCCTGCAAATGTGCTCTTATAATTCATTTACATTTTTCTGTTGGGTTATTTTATTTTATGGATTTGTATTCGTTTGCTTTTTGGGACATTGCCTTATGTAGCCCAAGACGGCTGAAAACTTGCTATGTAGACGAGGATGACCTGGAACTCGTGACCCAACTATCCCCTTTTCAAATGTATTTATTTTACGAGTATGAGTATTTTGTGTGCATATATATACATGCACCATGTGCATTTGGAAGAAAATCACAGACAGTTGTGACTTGCCACGAGGGTGCTGGGAACAGAACCCAGGTCCTCGGCAAGAGCAAACACGTGCTCTTAAGAGCTGAGCCAACTCTGCAGCCACCAACTGGCTTTTTAACAGGATGGTGACTTCTGTCAGTCACAGTGACATCCCAAGGACAGCACATGAGGCAAATGTCAAGGGCCCTTCACTCAAACCCACAAACCCGATTTTTTCTTCCATTAATCTAACTCACAACAGGCTGGAAAGTTGAGAATAATAGACTTTTTATGGGTAAGCTGCTGCTGCTGCTGTTGCTATTTTTCAAGACAGGGTTTCTCTGTGTAACAGTCCTAGCTGTCCTGGAACTCACTCTGTAGACCAGCCTGGCCTCGAACTCGGGTAAGTTGTTTATAGAATATAATATTCCTTGGGGAATAAAAATGTATGCTTCCTTTTAAAAAGAAAAGGCCTTTCTGTAGGTGCCACTAGGAACTAAAGTTGTGAGAGAGAGTTTGAGAACAATGTACGTGACCAGAAGGCAGTAATTCTCACCTTCACACTAGATGAAAACCCCAAGGGTGGTGGCTGCTTGGGCTGTGTTGGATCCTACCCAAGAGGACTCATGGGACAAACAGGAGCCATCCAAACAAGGGGGTCCTGCATGTCCAGGGGAAGAGGAGGCGGCAGTAGGAGAAGCGCTGTACACAGAGAACAGAGGGTCCAGAAGCAGCTTCTCTTGGGAAATAAGAGAAGAGATATGCTAAATCACAGAGTCACCAACTATGCTGGCCTATTGTTCTTTAACCTCTGATTTCCCTTTCCCAGCTCCCACTCCAGTTGAGCTGGAGACTTCTCACCTGTAGAAAGCACAGAATGGAGGTTGGAGCGTTGGGGGATGGGAGGATCATGTACCTTTCACGCTTCAGGCTTTCAAAAGAAGGAAGATTTTGCCTTAAAGAAATAAAACTGGCCGGGCGGTGGTGGCGCACGCCTTTAATCCCAGCACTCGGGAGGCAGAGGCAGGCGGATGTCTGTGAGTTCGAGACCAGCCTGGTCTACAAGAGCTAGTTCCAGGACAGGCTCCAAAACCACAGAGAAACCCTGTCTCGAAAAAAAAAAAACAAACAAACAAAAAAGAAATAAAACTAAGCTTGGTGGTGGCACATGACGTTAATCCCAGGCAGAGGCAGGCAGATCTCTGACTTTGAGGTTGGCCTGGTCTATAGAGCAAGTTCTAGGACAGTCAGGGCTACACAGAGAAGCCCTTACTCGAAAACCAACAAACAAATAAATAAAGAGAAGAGGTTCAGTGGCTGGAGAGATGACGCAGTGGTTGATGCTCTTGCAGAAGACCTGAGTCCAGTTCACAGCACCCACAGCGGGCAGTTTATAACAGCCCGTACCTGCAGAGCCAGGGATCTGATGTTCTCTTCTGGCCTCTGAGGGCACACACTTATGCTCACACAAAAAGCTTAAGCAAGTTTGAGTATCTAAATGACTACCATGAAACCGATCGGTCGATAAATACCCAATATTTTTAGTCTCTTAGGATTTCTGGCAGAGGAGGCAGAAGCAAGGGGACAGGGAGTTGAGTGTGACCAGGATGCATGATGCAGAACCCACAAAGATTCAATAAAAAGTTTAAAAAATGCTCTGCAGAAATTACTGAGCTCTCTATGAATTCATATAGCAGTAGGAGGAAAAAAATTCACCTGAACTGAATTTTGAAGTGGCAGTGAAAAGGGAGGGGGTAAGGGGTTCCTTCTTGTTTATCTGAAGGGGTAAGGAGTCCCTTCTTGTTTATCTGAAGCCCTGGGTGCTTTACCAAACTGAGCTACATGACCTGCTAGTTTTTGTTTCTTTTTATTTATTTTCGAGACAGAGTTTCTCGATTAACAGTCCTGGCTGTCCTTTCTCTAGGTAGACCAGGCTGGCCTCAAACTCAGAGATCCTCCTGCTTCTGCCTCCCAAGTGTTGGGATTAAAGGCGTGTGTCACTACCACCCCTTTTTCTTTTCTTTTCTTTTTTTTTAAATTATGTTCTCGCCAGGCGGTGGTGGCGCACGCCTTTAATCCCAGCACTCGGGAGGCAGAGGCAGGTGGATCTCTGTGAGTTCGAGGCCAGCCTGGTCTACAGAGCTAGTTCCAGGACAGGAAACAAAAGCTACGGAGAAACCCTGTCTTGAAAAATCCAAAAAAAAACAAAAAACAAAATTATGTTCTCAAAGGTGTTCCTGCTTATTTCAACATATTAGTCATCATTCAGTATGGGGTTTCTCAACATGCAGTGCTACTCCCTCAAAATTTTATTTTCCTTTCATAAAAAAATAATTAAAACAAACATCTCAGCACACACTTTTAATCCCAGCATTCTGGAGGCAGCAATAGGTGGACCTCTGCAAGATCAAGGCCAACCATAGTCAGTCCCTGCCTCAAAAAAAGTAAAATAAAATAATAAATAGATCAGCTAGTTAATGGTGGCACATGCCTTTAATACCAGCACTAGGGAGGTAGATGCAGGTGGATCTCTGAGTTTGAGGCCAGCCTGGTCTGCAGAGTGTGTTCCAGAACAGCCAGGGCTACACAGAGAAACTCTGTCTCAAAATAAAACAAATCTACCTATTATACTTGTTAAATAGCCCAACAAATTCTACAGGCAAATAAAACGGCAACTATTCAGAAAATTTAAACAACGGTAAGTAGCCGAGACCGAGGTTTTCTCAATGGGCAACTTTAACAAGTCCTCATGGACTTCGGAGACAAACACTTTCAAATTAGACTTAATCGAAGTCGTATTGCTCATCGTAGCCAACGTCCCAGAGGTCCCCAAGGCAAACGCAATCTCAGAGCCTTAACACGGAACAACATTTCCTTCCTACAATCAAACCCAAACACGGGCATTTCCCCCTCCCGTTCTGGTTAACAATCCGTAAAACATGACAGGCGCACAGAGACGCACAAGTGGAGTTTCGCGGGGAAGAATCCGTGAAACCACGACTCCTGGCTTCGGGAACGCGCCGGCCTCGCCCCCCTCCCGGGTGCGCGCTCCCGCTCGCCGCCTCTCAGGCCTGACTGTCTCGCCGCGTCCGTCCTAATCCAGGCTCGCGCTTTCCCCTTCAGCATCCCAGTCGGCCTCGCCCATCTCCCGCCCATTTCTCACGCGCAGGGGACCCGACCGCGCTCACCTCCGACCACTGGCGAGCCATGGCGCGCCTGCGCGGCGCGGTCGGTCTCTCCCAAAGGTCTCTGCCGTGCGTTTCTGGGGCCGCTGGCCTCAGGCGCCTTCCCCACATCCGGGTGTTGCGGACCTTGAACTACATTTCCCACCGACCACCGGGCCACGTTTAAACTTTGCAGTTTTGGGGTCAGTGTGGCTCTACTGTAGATACAGAGCGGGGCGCAGAGGTCTCCCAGGGTGTACCCGGGCTGAAGCTCAGGCTTGTGTGTGCATATGTGCGTGTGTTTGTGTGATAAGGTCATGATTAGGTGCGTGGTTGGGCTCTGATGAGCGACCGTGGTTACCTGTGATGGATTTGAAGGCATGCATCATAAGATGGTGCCTTGACTTGGTGTGATACTGACTGGGGAGTGGGGCAGAGCTTCATTTCTGCAGTTCCAGTTTGTTTTGGAGTCTATTGGAACACTCCCTGAAGACTACAGACTATATTTATGTTTCACAGTCGACTTCCAATGAAGCATGGTTTGATTGTCTTCCTCAGGGGACTCCTGGCCTCCACTGCCTGACTAAATACAGCCAGCTATCAGTAAAATGAGTGCCCGTCTAGATACCAAGTTTTGGGGTCTTTGTTGTTGTTGTTTTGTTTTTAAGAGTCCAGTCTCTCCATTATGTAGCTTTTGCTGTGTAGACTTCTCAGGTTGGCCTCAAAGTCACAAAGATCCACACCTCTCTGCCTCCCAAGTGCTAGCATTAAAGGGATGAATCACTATCCTTGACCTTTCATTTTTAATATATCTGTGCATTAAAAAACATGTCAATAAATCCTGTGTGGTGGCGCATGCCTTTAATCCCACCACTCGGGAGGCAGAGGCAGGTGGATCTCGGAGTTTCAGGATGGCCAGGGCTACTCAGAGAAACCCTGTCTCTGAAAATCAAAAAAACATGCTGTTCGTTATCAATATTTGCTGCCTTTCAACTCCATCTCCTTCCTTGCCTGCTTTGCAGTATTGAAACTGGGCTCCATAGGTATTCCTCCTGGGCTAGCTGGGACACTGGTAAGCTTTTGTAGAATGGCGGAGAGATGGTAGTGGATGTGTCTCCTTCCTGTTTATTTGCGCTCTTGCGGAGCTCTCCAGCCTTTCTCTGACAGCCCAGCCTCACTCTGACATACACTCAGAGGCTGTGCAGTAAGCTCTGGGAAAGTAGCCGCAAACTATCTGCAGTCAGCGTCTTCTCTCTGCTCACGGGTTAGTTTCAAACAAGTCTTCTTCAAGGTTCCACACACTGCATCCCCCAACTGCAGCAAATGCTGGAAACCAAGTGTTCAGACACATGGACCCGTCGGGACCCATTTATCTTCAAACCATAACGTGAGATCCCGAGGCGAGAGGCTTTGAAGACAGCCTAGGTGAGTGAGTCCTTGCCTCAAAATACATTAAAAGAGAATCTCAGGGTTATGCGCTGCCAGGATAGAATATGACCCCCTAGGATGCAGGATACACACTCAACCAGATACTTTTTAAAACAAAACTTTTAATTCTGTTTGTGTGTGCTCATACGTGTGGGAACGGGCATGGAGGAGGATGGCAGGCAGAAGTCAGTTCTTGCCATCCGTGGTGTGGGCTTCAGGGATGCAACTCAAGACTTCAGGCTTGACAGCAAGGACCTCATCATCCGAGTCATCTCACTGTCCCCCAAATGTATTCATATTCATTTAACACTGTATCTGTGGAGACAAAAACAGAGGGTCATAATATTCATTGTTGCTTGTTTCCTGTGAAGTGTGGCATTGGAAACCTGTCCATTTGAAACTGCATTGGAAAAGCATCAGCTCACAAGATAGGATCATGTTTAAGGTGCACTGCACATGGACAGACTGGGGACACAGAGAGACACGTTTGTTCACACGTAGCAATCGAGAATGGAGTTAGTTTATAGATAGAAACTATTGTAATATCTTCATGCTGGAAGCCCCTCCCCAAACCAGTTTGATATTAGTGGACTTCAACCCATTACCTGGCTTGGTTGTGGAATTAGAGACCAGAGAATTTGTGCAGAGACTTTCGCTTTGAGCACGCACGCGGCAAAGCTTCACACAGCCTTCAGTCTAGAGACAGCAGTCTGTGGAATGATAACACAAACGCTAAGAACAGCAGGCGGCTTGCATCTGGATGCTGTGAAGCTGCTGCCCATCCCCCATCTTCTCCTGCTCTTTGTTTTTAATTAAAACGTGACATGGGTATGTTTTGTGGGATCTTATGTGTCATATCTTTACCAAGGCTGCTGAGTGACCTTACAAACCTGGTGTGGTGACACACATCTATGATCACAACACTTGGGAAGGGCTGGCAGGAGGACTAGGAGCTTAAGACCACCCTGAGTTATAGGACATAGTGAGTTGGAAGTCACCATGTCTGAAACAAACATGTGGGAGGAGGAGGAGGGATCTCTAAAATCCCAAGAGAAAGAAAAATAAGACACAGCCATGTGGGCTGGCCAATGTCCAGCTTGGGGGTATATGCAAGCTGCTATGTGTTCTCATGTGCAAAGACTGACCGCTATCTTCCCTGCAAACCCTGCCTTCTGCGCTGTAAACCCCTTGAGGCACACAAGTGGCCCAGTGCCACCCCTGAGGACCTCCGTCTGCCAGGTTCCAGCCACAGAACACTCTAACTGTCGTAAGGGCTGCACCCAGCACACACCATACAAAGTAAAAAGCCCAAGCCCTGGACTTGAAATCCCACCAATCCCTACCTGGAAAGTTCCTCCCCAATAAATCTTATATAATCCGTCTTCTTCTCAGTTCTCTGCTGTTTCTTGCCTAAACAGAGGCAGCCATACTCCCTGGTTTTCCCTCCCAATAAATCTCTCATGTGAGGTTTGTTGCTTGGTGTGACTTTGTGGTATTCTTTGGCTCCCTACGGTCAGGATACCTTTCCCCTCAGAGTTGCAACACATTGGTGTCATGACTTGGATAAGCTCTCCTGGTGTCTGAGTTCCCCCTTGGGGCCTAAGCTACACCGGGACCCTATCCCTCATCTCCAGTCCACCTGTGACAGGCTCACCTTCTGGCTCTCTAATCGCTGGGTACCCCCTCCACCAACAGCAATTAGGTAAGTTTCCCCTTTGGTCAATGTAAATGTTTCGCTGAGTCCAGGGAAGTGACTGTTGAGTACCCAGAACCCCTGTGGTACCCTTGGAGGTGGAGGTACCCCCAGCCACAGTCTTTAAGGCTATGACTGGCCCTCTTCACCCGACCCCATCATCACAATCCTGAAGCTTCAGTCTGTCATTTCCTTAGGCCTAACTGGGCTATTGTGCGCCTTCCTGCCCCCTTCTCCCACGGTCCCTTCAGCGCTGCCTGTGATCACACAGCTCCTCTTGGCCATATTGGCTTTCATGACTCCGTTCTCTAATCCTTTCCTTTTGACGAGACACCCCCCTGCCCCACTTCTGGAGCTTGGTTTTCATCCTTGCCTTCTGGACTCCACAGAATCCCTGGTACCAGTCACCGAGTCTCTCTTCCGGCTTAGCCAGTGAAAGACCCTCGACGAGGACCTCTTTTCGGGAGGAGACCTCCCCAACGCCAAGGAACAGGCCGAGACGGCATGGATGCAAATCCCAAGAGGTTTATTGAGTAGACACAGGTACCTGTGGGCAGCAAGATCTCTCGGAAGATTTGCGCGCCTGCCAACTGGAGGGCGGGCTTTTTATAGGGAAGAGCAAAAAGCAAGTTTACAGAAGCAAAAGCGTGGTTATCGGAATGCGGCGGGGGGGGGGGGCATGAATGGTTTCCTCTCTCAGCATGGATGCCTGGCAACAATCATCCTGTTCCTATTTTATAGCTAACCTGCTTTGTTGACATCCTATCTTATTGACATCTTTCCTTGCAGTCTTCCTATCTCTATCTCCTGCTCTCTCAGGCACATGGGATGTTCTTACGGGAGCAGGCTGGCTGCTGATCCGGAGAATTTTTTTTTTTAAAGCAAACAGGACGTTCCCCCGGGAGCCTGCTAGCTGCAGGTTTTGAGGAGGGGGTCTGTAGGGTCTTTCATTGCCGGGTCATAAGCATTGCAGCTCAGATGGAAAGGTGTTCTGGCAGTCGGAAGCCAAGGACCTCACAAAGTCCCTGGAAAAGTAGCCGCTCACAGCTATGCCCCAGGGAAAGATTTCCCCAACGGAACAGCTCTGCTCTGGCAGGGGAAGGCCTTCCCAGGGAAGTTGTTTCTGTTCTGCTCAGTCGTCCCCCCACCCCTCCTTTGTAGCAACTCTGATCCAACAGCAGAAGGTTTCGCCAGTAAAAGTGACCCAGTTCTGCTCTGGCTCCAGGGAAAGGTGTTACTTCTCTGCTCTGTTCCTTTGCATGAAAGAAAGTCTCACCCAAACCTCATTCAAGAGATTTATTGGGAGGGAAGAATCCAGGAGGGTAGCTCTGCCAGGGTGGAAAAAGGCAACTCCCAACTGAGCAGGTATAGTGCTTATAAAGGGCTTCTTAGGAGCAAGAGTTTTTCCAGGGTGAAGATTTTCAGGGTGGGAATTGGTTGGATTCAATTCCTGAGTTTGGACAAGCTCAGAGATTAGTTTGGATTTCATGCTTAGGGGTTGGTTTGTTTTCCTGCTGAATTGGTCAGGGGCAGAGTGTGTTTCTTTGGCTCTGGTTTCAGGGCTAAAGTGTATTCCTTTAGCTGTCCCTTTTATGCTACAAACTTGACACAAGCTAGACTTATCAGAGAGGAAGGAGCCTCAGTTGAGGAAATGCCTCCATGAGATCTAGCTGTAGGGCATTATCTCAGTTAGTGATCAATGGGGGAGGGCCCAGTCCACAGTGGGTGGTGCCATCCCTGGGCACCTGGGTCCTGGGCTCTATAAAAAAGCGGGCTGAGCAAGCCATGGGAAGCAAGTCAGTAAGCAGCACCCTCCATGGCCTCTGCACCAGCTCCTGCCTCTAGGGTACTGCCTTTTGTGAGTTTCTGTCCTGACTTCCTCTAACGATGAACAGCAATGTAGAAGTGTAAGCCAAATAAACCCTTTCCTCCCTGATTTGCTTTTTGGTCACGGTGTTTGGTTGCAGCAATAGAAACCTTAGCTAAGACAGG